AGTCCTGCACTCTGTCGGCTCCATTTCCTAGGGACTTCCAAGAAAGAGCCGTGATCCTTCGTTTTCACCTCATTTTCCACTTGACTTCCAAGAGCTGCTGAACTGTAACAGGAAGTTCAGCAGCGAGAAGAAACTCGAGACGTTTCGCTCAGAGAGGGAGAGTAATGACTTCCAGAGCTGGAGTTCATAATTGAAGTCTTGCAGAATCCTATAAAATGGCAGCCCCTTGCCATTGCCGTGTGTGTTTGAAATACTGGCACAGGGGCTCTGTCAGCTGCAGAATTGTTGAGTAACGTTGAAAGTTTTTCTGGGAAAATATCTGTAGTCTTTATTTGGTAGAAGTGTATTTCACTACATCCAAAGCTTATTTTGATTGCTGAGAGTTGGCGTTTTGTGTGTGGGTCAGACTTTGATCGCATTTAGAAACATTGTTTAAGCAGTTTTAGGGTTGGCTGCACCCCTCCCTATTCCTCACTGACTGGGAGATGCTGGCTGGTCGCTTAGCAGCCAAAACAAATGTCCAGTTGAGTGGGGCAAACTTGCCCCTTCAAGCTCATGTCACGTCAGTGCAAGCAGGTGAGTCTGAGGAACGGGCAGCAGCTGCTGCCGAACCTAACCGATCACATCTCAGTGAGCGGGGCCTAGTCATAAAAGAGCACCGCTGTCGCCAGTTTGTAGCCCGTTCAGATCAGGGACTGTGAAAGACTGGTCCTGGGCAGTACTGGGATGGGAGATTGCCGCCGTCAGTGGTGCTGGTGGACCAGTAGGTGGCGCTCTTTCCTCTGGAACAGAATTTTCAAGCCAGTGCCTCGGTATGGTGGTGGCGATGAAGATGAGCTGCTGAACTGGGGTCCCGATGACTTCATTGTTAAAGACCCCTACCCTGGTCCTGAACAGCCTGGCCTCCCTGAATTCGGAGGGGAAGCTCCCCGTTGAGGTCACTCGAGGCAGTTTCTCAGTCCTCCGCAGCTGATCAGCTGTGCAGTGGGGCTGCCAGGGGTCACCCAGGCGCAGGATGCACCTCAGCTTGAGCTCTTGTCCCCCAGGTCTGCTGGGCTGGGAATCTGAATCTAAGGAGTAAGAACAAATGGGGGTGAAAGCCATACTGTTCTTTCAGACCTGGCCCATTTCTACCAGTTACGAGTCTTGCGTAAAAAGCATTTTCCGTCCCAGAGCACCCTTCACCCTGTCTTTAACGAATTCCACTTACCCCCCTCAGAGCGCAATTATAGTTCGCAATTATACCTGTGGCTATAACCCCGCTCAACAGTGGATTCCCTTGTTCATGTTTATGTGTCTAGTTTGTTTTTCATTATGTTGTCCGCTCCTGCATAACCAATCGCCCCCTGGGGATAACGCACACGCACTCTCTGTCTTGGTGGGGGTAGGAGTGGGGCTCCCGCTAGTGTGGAGTGTGTTGGGATCCTCCGGAGGTGATATTGATTAGAGCTGTTGGCACAGGGGTGTCAGGTAACACATTCTGCATGATCTCCACGTTCCCCAAAAGGGGTTCAGTGTAGCGGCGGGCCTGAGACGCACTGATCCTCCAGCTTGCAGTGTGGGTGTTTGTTGATTTGGAGGTTTATGGGCCTGGGGAGGAAGCGGGGTTGCCGGACAGCTGGTGGGAAGACGTTGAAGCCCGGACGTTGTGCGTGTCCCTGAGGCGCTGACCGGCGTGCTCTCTGTGTGTTTCAGACACTACCCCAAGACCACCTTCACCAGCGTGGCAGACACCCCCGAGAACCTGCGGCTCAAACAGCAGAGCAAGATGCAGAGCCAGGTACTGGGCCCGCCGAAACCCCCCTCAACGCACACGCCTCTCGCACTCCACTCCTTCCTTCATTCCTCACGGGTGTCCACCTGTCTCTCTCTCTGTCCGCATTCCTTAAGGTTTCTCTCTCCGTTTCTATCCGCGTCCCTCTGTCCCACTCTCCCAACACTTCCTGCTCCTTCAGTATCTCTCGCTGCCTTGCCTTGACTTTCTCCACTCCTCCCCCCCCCCACGCACACCCTTTCTCTCTCTGTACCCCTCTAGCTCTTCATCACAGCCTCATCCTCCTCCTCTCTCCAGTGGTGATGCGTCAGTGGCTGGTTGTGAGGTCTGGTAACGAGGGCTGATAGAACACTTGTCTGGCTGCTATGACGATGGGGTTCCCTTGGCAACGCCGGGGGGGGGAGGGGCGGCTCTACTGGGCCACGCTGACCCACACCCTCCAGCCACACACACACGCACGCAGACACACGTGCGCACACACAGGAATGCTGCCACCCTGCTTCTGACTGTAAACGTCGCAGTCAGATCCAGTTGATAACCGCTCCGCTGTGAGACCTCATGCATGTGAAGGTGTGGATTACAGGGGGATGAGATGACGGACAGCAGGTAGACGTGGGGCTCCATCCTGTGCGTGCAGATCTGTGCTGTAGTGAAAGGAGCACCCACTCCACCCCCGTCGCAGTTCATTTCTCTCACACCAGGGACAGCAGTGTCAGCCTCCTGGGTGAGCGTCTGCACCAGGCCATGCGCCGTGCACGCCCTGCTGCGCGCGTCGTCAGGGGCTGTTGAGTCCCCAGCAGGGAATGTGGCGTGGCTCTGTGTGTGCCAGCCTGCCCCCTTGTTTCTGTCCGGATCCCTTGGCAGTCCTGCTGCTGCAGGGGATTAGGACTGCCGGGCAGGGCCACAGACAGTCCGGGCCGGCTCACCACACCGATTAAGACTCCGAAGGCGGATTATGTTGTTGTTGGTGGCGGCGGGGTCTCTGTTACACCAGATTATTGCAGCCATATTCTGCAGGGACAGACAGACGCGCTAGCTCTCCTAGGATACCAACGCAGAGCAGGCCTGCACCGGGGATCAAGTGAAATAAGACCAGGCTTTTTTTTTTCTCGGACTGGCTGGTCTGTTCTTGTTGCTTTCGAGTGTGGGTACAGATGTGTGCACGCTAGTGACACTCGTGCGCAACGAAACGACAAGCAGAAGCACCCCCCCTCTCCAGGGAAAAAACAACAACAACAGGAAATTGCACACGTTCGTACATAGAGATTACACACGTTGGCATTTTCATACCTGCACCCCCCTTGGAACATTAATATCAAGCCTCCTGCATGACGGGCTGCATCAGACCCTGCTGGAAGCTCAAGGCCACACTAGCAGATTTTTGGGCCTGTAGTTGCTGTTTATAGCAACTACAATTTATAGCAACCTCCAGGTGCTTGCAAAGCCAAGGCTACTCTGAGGAACTGGGGGGGCATTGCAGCGTGCCAGACCTTGGGGGAAAGGGTCTTGGCTGAAACTGGGCTCCCAGCCAAGGCACAAGCCGAGAATCAAGGGCTTGCGCCGTTGTCGGCATGTTCGTTCGTGAAAAGGAACCCATTGCACGCCGCACTGGACACACAGACCGGTCCCCCTGCACCCCCGCTTCTTTAAAAACGCAATCTGTGCAGTGCAAAAAAAAAAAAAGAGATACAGATGTTACTGCCAGCGTAGTTCTGTAGCACTGGTAGACCTGGGGCTGGAATTCTGCCCCTGCAGGAAGACAGTGCAGCCGCTGCGATGTCGTGTTTGTATTCGAGCTCTGTGTCTCGCATCAGATTTCATTCAGCGCGCTCTAGTGTGGGCTGAGTTATTGATGGCATTAATGAGCTTCGTTAACGCTCTTCCATTCTGGCAGTAATTGGACGGGTCATGACATTGCTCTTGTCCTGGCAGCGCCAGCAGCGCTCCTCAGCCCCTGTGCCAGTTTTCTTTGCCTCCGTTTCCCCTGGCAGCGGGAAGCCATGCCCGTATGCTGCAGATTTGCATTGCATTGGCAGGGATCCCTTTTTAATCCTGTAGGATTTCCCCACTCGCTTCCGTCTCCCTCTGCCAAACAGACTGCACGACCCACAGCCCTGTCATAATAAGCCATGTAAACCTCCTTCAGCACGAGTTGTAAAAGCTCAAATGAGAGCCATGATAAAGTAAGTGTCCCATCTTGTGCAAATGGGGTGTAATTTCACTTGGTCTGTTTTTTGCTGTCATTCATTTTAGTCACAGGAGATACAGCCACAGTGTGAAGATAACAGCGCTAGCAGCGTTATCAGCGATAGCTCCATTGGCATTATTTCCTCACTAGTGGCTGTAACACATAGCATCAATAGGTGTAGTGTTGAGAATTGGGCATGGTAACAGTAGTCTGAGCTGCCACACGAGCAGTATTTGCTGTAGCAGCAGTAATAATAGTAATATTAGCAGTATCAATCATCATGGCGGTAGTATCAGTGGCGGCAGCAGTAGCAGAAGATGCAAGATCAGTCGCAGTGGCTGTGACTGTAGCAGCACTAACAGTTCGAACAGTGGAGTCAGGGGTGATGCGGACAAATACTTTGTTGTGTGTGCGTGTCTTGACTCACAGGAGAGCCCCCGATCCATGAGCTGCTAGCCTGCAAACAAGACAAAAATGGAGCAGAAGACCTGCCCTGATGTGTGTGTGTGTGTGCTTGTGTGTGCGTGTGTGTCAGTGGTTTGTAGGGCCTCTATGTGCCGGAGGCAGGAGTTGTGTGTAGTGAATATTGGGGTGCGATATGAGACAAAAGAGAATCGTGTTCCTGGCCTCTGCCACTTCCTGCCCAGGCTGTGTGACTGAACACAATGTGTAGTTTGTATGAAAATAGAACAGAGATTTTCATACCCTGCCCCCCTTCCCCCAGTTAAAACACGCAATGGGAAGACCAAAAGCTTGGCATTAATAGGACAGTGTAGAGCTGAAGAAAAGTGCGCTGAAGGCCCGGGTCCGGCGCTGGACGTGACCGGGGCAGCTGCAGAGCCGCTCGTAGACGTGTCTCAGGAAGGCGTGCCGGTGTGTGTGTGGGACCTGCTGGGCGGGACGCTGTCGGCACGGCACTCTGCAGCCCTTAAAAGGAGACGGCTGGGTGCCGCGCTCTCTGGCGGCCCGCGCCTCGCTGCAGCCGACAGGAAACCGCAGAGGCAGGCGTGCAGTCCCGGCCCTCACCTTGAGCTGGACAGCGCGTTCACACACGCCCGCCCCCACACTCCCAGTAATAGTGTCGTCTTCTCAGCCCTGGGCACGGGGGTGGGGGGGCTGATTCTCATTTCCTGCAGCTATTTCTGAGCCGCGTTCTAGCGTCACCCGAAGCGTGACTGTGCTGGGTTTGTGTCACCGAATGTAACCACTTGATTTCAGTTAGAATTGAGTCTTGCCGTCTTAAAATACTGCCCCGGTACATTGTCCTGGGGTTGCTGAGTCCCTCTGAAAATAAGTGCATGAGCGTTTTTGTCAGGACACCCACAAGCTTGTGCGCTGCATGCACGTTACTCTCATTACCCCCAAGAGTCACGTTTGTGGCTCATCTGGTTTGAGTCTTTCTAGTGTGGTGAATATGAGTGTTGTGTCTTGAGTATATTTTATCTGATTGTATTGTATTCTTAATAGAGAACTAAAACACCACATACAAGACCAGGGATTTAAGAAAACATGAAGATGAGAGAAATTATCTTACTGCTTTTTTGCAATAATAGAAATGGAGGATATATAGGTCTATAGGTATTTCAGTCTCCACACAGCCTTTTTGCCCAGCTAAAGACGTTGTGCCATTAGACTGACAGTAGCTTGGGAATCTGCACTGAGCAGGAGCTGTCAAGAGCTCAGCGTCGCAGACGCCCCAGATAAATGAAAGCATGTAAGTCACCTGCACACAGAAAGAGGAATGTGTATTGAGGAGGGCTGCAGGAGAGGGTGTGCTGACCCCTGCGCGTGTGTGTGCCGTTGTCTTCCAGGTGCTGTACAAGGAGGAATTTGAGAAGAACAAGGGGAAGGGTTTCAGTGTGGTGGCCGACACGCCGGAGCTGCAGAGAATCAAGAAGACGCAGGACCAGATCAGTAACGTGAGTCCTCTCTCTATCCCTCCACTGTGTTCACCTTGCACTCTGCTTCCTGGCCTCCCTGTCACCCTTCCAATCCATCCATCACATCCTCTCTGTAGACGCACTGTCAAGGCGTCATCCCCTGCTCGGGCTGGAGACATTCACAAAGAGGAGAGCCGCTTACCCGCTGGGATTGGTTTTACACATGTAATTTATGGGGGGATGTTATTTTAGCATTTTTTCTGTTTTGCACACTAATATTTAGAATGCTGCCTGCTTCGATGGGAGCAGTCTGATTTTCACGGGGCGTGATTAAGAGTTGTGCGCACATTTAAGTTGGGGCAGGCGGACAGAGACGACCAGCCGAACAGCAGGGTAGACGCGCTGGCAGGGAGAGGGGGCTGTGCCTGGCGTGGTGCTAAATGAGATAATAGCTGTGTTGGTGCTGGAGTAATTACAGACTGACTGCCTGATTAGGGCCCGGTGCTCCTAGACAAAATGCTAATGACACCCCAACGCAGCAGCACAACAATTAGAGAGGGTGTGACACTCGCAGAGCACGGACGTGTGCACGGACGGGGGTGAGTCTCAGCAGGTGTGGAGGTGGGCGTTGGAGAGGCAGGAACAGGGCAGTCGGGATGTAAATTATGAGCCCTCCTCTCTCAGGTGGTGTATTTGAGGTTTTGCAAGATGTAAAGAAATTTCATCGTCCTCCTTTCTCTTTCTCTTTGCTCTCTTCTACCCTTGGTCTTCCTCCGTTTCTCTCACTCTGCCCCCCCTTTTCGCAGAGATGAGACAGTGATGAATGCTCACTCTTTGGTATTTGTGAGGCCGCCATGGGAACCAGTGGTGTTTCTGCTGCAGTTTCATCTTCCTGATTCTTTTCCCTTGGCGTGCGTGTCTGTTCTGCTGGCCTTTCCAGCCACTCCCGAAAGTTGCTTCTGAAAAATTGTGCTGTGCCATGCCCTTTGACCCCACCTCCCCCTGCAGTGGAGCAATGCACTGTTTTGGTGCTGTAGAAACACGTCCCCAGTCTGCGACCGCTTGCTCAGGTTGGAGATCTCTATCAGGAGGCTGTTAGAGCTGGATGGCCACACCTAGAGTGATCCATTGCCCAGACTTTAGAAGAGGGGCAGAGAAGCTTCCCATGTTAGACGCTCGGGAGTGATCTTCAGCTGCCTATGGTCAGTTTATCCCGGTGTGCTGATGGTAGCTCTTTGCATATGAAGGAACCAGAGCAGCACTACCTTATTGCCCTGCATGTGCGGCTTATGTCAGCCCCCAGGATGGAGGCCAGCAGGAGGGAAGAAGGGAGCCGCAGGTTGGATGAGAGGTTCCGAATAAAAATCTGGGTGCCTGAACTGCCGGCCGTTTCCAAACCCGGGAGACTTGGGAGACCGCGTACCGCTAAATCTGAGGGAGTTTGCATTCGTATCGGGGTTGTGGATTACTGTGTCAGAACCCTGTTGCTGTCGGCGTTTCTTCGGTGCGGTTGGTGAAGATCGTCACCCCGAGTCTCTTGACGGTTCTTGCTGCGCCTGTGCTGGTGGTGTCCCCCCCCTCCTGTCGCTCTGAAGAGCTCCTGCGCTCACACACTCTTTCCTTGGGGGAAAAAGCCCCTGCCTTTAAAGGAGCAAAGGAGAAATGCACCAGTTACATTAATTCATTACAAAATCAAACAGTTGGAGAGCTGGACGCTTCCATTTTTCAGTGGCTTGAGCTTTTCTTCATCTGTTAAATCATTGCAAATCTACTCGAAAACTATTTCCCCCATTGTAGAGCCAAAGTTCCTTTTGTCTGTCTGTCTGCCGAGGACACATCACAGAACGAGAAGTTTTTTGGGGGGCTTTCAGTGTACTAGTTCCCTGCCTACGACCTGGCCTTCATCTCTGATCCTCTCCCAGCGTGCCTGTTTCAGCCCTAGGAGAAGCGGTGTAGCTCTGTGTGTTGACCTAAGACACTCCCAAGGGTGGACTTTCCTGTTCTAACACCCATTCCGACTGCCTGACCGACAGCACCTACGCAGATAACTGTTGCTCTGCTCCCTCAGCCTCTTTTACTGCTGATCTCTGGCACTTATTCAAAACCTCAGGAAGCAGTTTCATTTTTGCTGGGAAAGTACTTCTGTCTGAGAAGGAGTTAACTGACATTCTCATTGTGTGGTAGTTGAGACTCCTTCCTCTCTCTGTTCTGCGTACCTGTTCCTAACGCTGTATTAAGGCGAGCTCTCAGCACTGGTGTCCTGGCAACGCAGAAATCAGGTGACTTGCTAGTGATCTCATTTCCTGCCGTTCCGAGTACTTCCAAAAAGGGCAGTGTGTTCATCATATACCAAATAAGGAACAAGGCAATTTGGAGCCCCCTGCTGGTAAAAATTCAACAACCCTTCACTTAAATCATCGTACAGAAAAATTATTGTAGCCTCCTTGAGTCTGCCATCACCACACCCCCTAGTGAGAAATCTCATAGAACTTGACCTGGCTGTGCATTGTGCTTTGTGTTCAGGGCTCTGGCTAGGATTGATCGATTGTAAAAATGGCAGGGGTTCCAGAATAGAGAAATACGGCTCCGATTGCCCAGACATTCAGTCTGAAATTTCAAGCATGGTGCCTTTTATTGAGTGCATTTGTATAGGCAGACATGCAGCTGTAACAGTACTAAATAAATTGCCTTACAGCTTAAAGCTGCATGAAAACACGCACCTACTGAAGCCTGAAATGGATCTAGGTGCTTTGCAGGAGGAGTCTGTTTTGATTAATAATGCACTAGTGAAATCAGGGTTGACAGAAATGTGGCAGAAGGGTGTTCCTTTCAGTATCAGACTTCCAGACATAGACACAGAGATGTATTGTACATAGTGGCATGCTGCCTCCAGAAATCCAAAAGCCTGTGAGTGACAAAGCTATAGCATGTTAATCATAGATCTTAGATCTGAAACCTCTGCCAGATGGGAGAGGCTGAAACAAATGTCTCAGATTAAGAAGTCACATGCGGTGTGCAGTGAACCCTTCTGCCTAGCGCAGACTGCACCAGGTGTGTGGCACAAGAAACCCGGGAAGAGATGGGAGTTTCCCTGTAGGCTCGACGGGCTGCAGCTCGAACCCGGGCCAGGGGAACGCACAGGGCCACCCTGCGCTTTCGACCGTGCGTGATGGAGACGTTTCTGTCGCTGCTTCTTTCCGCAGATCAAGTACCATGAAGACTTTGAGAAGAGCCGGATGGGTGGGGAGGGACACAGCCAAACCCCCCCTCCTCACGGCACCCCAGGTAAGTCAGCAGGCTGGCCCAGGACTGGGAACATGGCTCTGCCTGTATTGCCTTAATGGGGTGGAAAGAAAGTAAGCAAATGAAGGTAAAAACATATGCAAATGATTTCCATATGATCAGGATGCTTTGGTATCTCAGTAAGAAAAAAATGCAGTTACCCCGATTTTTGTACTTGTCCAAACATAATGCAAATAGTGCAGATTTATTGGACTCGTCTTCTGTAATGAGCTGGTTTCTTTAAACCAGCTGACACCCTGCTTTCCCTGCTGTAGGCAAAGGAAACCCGATTGATCAGTTGCTTGTTCCTGGAGCAGTTTTGTTTTGCAGTTCTAAAATAAAAGCTGCTTTACTCTTTTGGGTTCTGGTGCGCGATCTGCAGAGCCTTATCATGCATTGTTGTCTGCGTTATTCTTCCCCCCCCAAAAAACAGAAAAATACGCTTTAAATTGCACAAGATGCTGACATGTTCATTGTTTTAAACGATATACAATGAGCAAGTGAAGGGCAGGGGCTGTGGTGTCCTGTCTTGCT